GGGGCGGGGCGGGGCGGGGCGGGCTTAAGGCGGGCTCCGGCAAGTCCCAACCCCAATCCCATGCGCCCACGGCTTCAATGCTGCCAGGTAGGTCTTTAACTCAACTCATTCTGGCACAGCTTTGTTCTAAGCCACAGCCTTGAACTCTGGAATGTGGTCTCAGGTTTGTTCTTACCAACTCACGTTGAAAGAAGTGAGAGCAGCCCTCCCTCAGTGCCAGGCTAAGTCCCTCACAGGGACCAAGCCTCACAGCACCTCTGAGGTGCAATGTCTCAACCCCACTTTCCAGGTACCCAAGGCCCAGAGACCACAGCATCTGCCCAAGTTCACCCAGCTGAAGGAGGCAGAGCTGGGATTTGATCCCAACCCTGGCGGGATCAAGTCCATGCTCTCAACCTTGCATTTTCAAAAGTCTCTGAAATCAGCCAGGTGCGGTGGCTCATGCCTGTAATCCCAGCACTTTGGGAGGCCGAGGCAAGAGGCCTGCCTGGGCCCAGGGGTTTGAGACCAGCCTGGGCAAATTGGCGAGACCTTGTCTCTACAGTAAACCAAATAATTAGCTGGGTATGGTAGTGCACGCCTGTAGTTCCAGCTACTTGGAAGGCTGAGGTGGAAGGATCACCTGAGCCCAGCAGGTTGAGACTGCGGTGGCCATAAGCATGCCACTACACTCCAGCCCAGACAACAGAGTGAGACTCCGACTCAAAACAGGCTGGACTTGGTGGCTCAACTTGTAATCCCAGTGCTTTGGGAGGCGGAGGTGAGTGGACTGCCTGAGCCCGCGGGTTCGAGACCTGCCCAGGCAATTTGGTGAGACCTCATCTCTACAATAAATCAATAAATCAAAAATGAGCCGGGTGTGGTAGCGCGCACCTGTAGTTCCAGCTACTCGGAAGGCTGAGGCGGAAGGATCGCCGGAGCCCAGCGGGTCGAGGCTGCGGTGGCTGGGAGTGGCCACTGCACTCCAGTCTGGGCGACAGAGTGAGACTCCACCTCCAAAACAAAAACCAAAAACCAAAAACCAAAAAAAGGTCTCTGAAATCCCATGTGGTTTGTGCTAGTATTGTTTCCAATACCAGTAAAAGGCAACATTATAAATCTTGGTCGAGGGGTCCTGGGATGAGTTCAGGCACTGCTCACACCCGGGAGGATGCTGCTTGGATCTTGGCCACACAGGGCTCTCCAGGCAGAGCCTTCCTCCTGGCAGCCTCCTTCCCTCCAGCCTTGACACGCATGTTCAGGGCTGGCCCTGTGGCCTTACCGGTCGGCTTCATCGAATACCACATACTCCACGCTCTGCAACTTCAAGTTCATCTCCACAGCCACATGCACCAACCGCCCGGGTGTGGCAATGATTCTGGAAGGGGGCGCACAGGCCAGTTCACCCTCGGGCCAGGGCTCCCGCCACAGCCTCCGCACCCCCCAGCTTCCGGTCATCCAGAAAGGGACCACGGAGCAGCAGCCCCAGCCCCCAAACTCACATGTCGGGATTTTCGTGCAGGGCCGCAAACTGGTCCTCCATTCTAGGGGGAGAGGAGGGGTCAGCCTGACAGAACAGTCTCTTGACTCCCCTTCCCATAAGCCAACACCCAGGGGAGGACCACAGACCCGAGGCTGGGAACGCAGGCAAGGCCAATGCTGAGACAGCAAAGGCAGCACATAGCGCCATCCAGCAGCTCACCCTGGAACGGCAGGCTCCAAACAGAGCCCCCGCTCCTCGGGGCTCCCCAGTCTCTACTGGCTCTTGTCCTTAACCCTTTTGGGCACACACCCCTAACATGAGTCCTGCTCTGAAACCCCCGTGGGAGACCTGAAGGAGCCAGAATTCTGGGCGAGGGCTAGCCCTGGGAGGTCTCTCTATCAGAACTACAGAGAGAATACATTACAGTGTAGACAAAAGCCCTGGAAAGCAAAGCCCTTGGAATCAAGAGTGTTGACAGGCGCATCCCTGAGAGGACTCCAGAAGGGATGCCCTGAGGGAGGCACGGGCTGGGGGGGCGGGGAATGGGATGAGGCAGGAGACTGGCTTCTGCCTCAGCTCTGCTGTGGAGCCACTGTCTGGCTCTGAGTCCAGTGCTCCCTCCGTTTGCTCAGCAGGATAACAAGTGTGGCCCCTGCCACCTGGGAAGGATGGACGAGCTTGCCAGGAGACAAAGCTTCTTGCTATTATCTCTGTGTTCAAATCTGAACTATTACAAACATTCCTCTATGTTTGTGCACTCCACTTTTAAATGGCCTACAACTGGCATATTAAAATATAAGGATGAGCCGGGCTCGGTGGCTCAGCCTGTAATCCGGCGCCTTTGGGAGGCTGAGGTGAATGGATTGCCTGAGCCCGCGGGTTCGAGACCTGCCTAGGCAACTTGGCGAGACCTCATCTCTACAATAAATCAAAAATGAGCCGGGTGTGGTAGCGCGCGCCTGTAGTTCCAGCTACTTGGAAGGCTGAGGCGGAAGGATTGCCAGAGCCCAGCAGGCGAGGCTGCGGTGGCCGGGAGCGGCCACTGCACTCCAGTCCAGGTGACAGAGTGAGACTCCAACTCAAAATAAATAAATAAATAAAATAAAATAAAATATAAGGATGGGCGTGGTGGCTCAAGCCTGTAATCCCAGCACTTTGGGAGGCTGAAGTAGGAGGATCACTTGAGCCCAGGGGTTGGCGGCCAGCCTGGGCAACATAGCAAGCTGGGTGAGGTGGCACATGCCAGGAGTCCCAGCTACTTGGGAGGTTGAGGCAGGAGGATCACCTAAGTCAGGAGGTCAAGGTTGTGCTGAGCTGTGATTGTGCCACTGCACTCCAACCTAAGCGACAGAGTAAGACTCTGACTCAAAAATATAAGTTATACACTTGGGCTATCCGTTTAGTTGACCCTGTAGGCTGACGGTTCTATTTCAGGAACATCAGAACTTCTGTCTGAGTCGCAGTGCTTCTGTGGACAATTTATTTTTAAATTACTATTAATATTTGTACAGACAAGGTCTCACTATGTTGCCCAGGCTGGTCTCAAACTCCTGGCCTCAAGCAGTCCTCCTACCTTAGCCTCCCAAAGCACTGGGATTGCCGACGTGAGCCTGCATGCTGCATGCCCGGTCCCTATTTTAACATTTTATGGCATGTTTTCCCTTGCTGGTGTCCGTGAATGGGCAGAAGCTGTTATTACTAGCAAGTGGCCCAGGGTGAGCCCCTCTCCTGCCCTTGAGTCAGGGGTTGAGCCTGCATGGTGGTGACCGCGGCATTGGGTGAAGGGTCCTTACTTGTCTCCGCCCAGGATCAGGGCAGTCTTGAGGCCAGTGAACTTTCCCAGCTGTGAAGAGAGAGAGACTGACTGAGAGGGTGAGGGGAGACCACTTGACCACTCAGGGCCCCCTGCCGCTTCCGAGTCAGTCCCACTGCCGCCACCCGTCCAGACACACCTCCTTGGTGAACTTCATGGTCTGCAGGGCCAACTCTCGGGTGGGCGAGAGGACAAGGGCGCGGGCCCCTGTCTGGGCGCTGTGGGCCTTGAGTCGCTCAAACATGGGGAGGAGGAAGCAGGCTGTCTTGCCGCTGCCCGTCCGGGCCATGGCCACCACGTCCTTGCCGTCCAGGATGACAGGGATGGTCTGACACGGGTGGAAAGGTGCGGGTCAGCTCCTGTACCCAAACACCCCATGACCCAGAGCCTTAAGTCCCCAGGGAAGGGGCGCAGGAGGGGACCTCAGTGCATGGGCAGGGGCCTGCTGCCCGCCTGATTCATTCTTGCCCATTCTTACAAAAGCCTGTTTGCACACCTCCAGGGATGGGCAGCTCACCACCCCAACTCTGTCCACTGATGGAACATCCTTCTTCAGGGTGAGCAGATTCCACCTCCCTATCTGGTCCTCCTCCCCAGGACCCCTGAGAAGCATCGTCCCGTTCAGCTAAATGTCTGGAGACAACAATCACTTGAACCCTGGTGACAATGGGGACCCTGTGAGCTGCCCAAGCGGAGGCTCAGTGACAGGCAGCCTTGGGGAGGTTCGACTGGCAAGGAGGCCCAGGGACAAGTCCCTGCTCTACTGGGCCCAACTTTCTCTGCCTATGAAATGGGCAAGCTGGGGGGGGGGGGGGCTCCAGCCCGATAAGAGGGCTACTGACGGGATGGCTGGGACAAGACGCAGCTATCAAGAGATCACATCACCCCCCCCATCCCTTACCTTCCTCTGGATGGGTGTTGGCACCTTGTAGCCTTTCTTCATGATGCCCTTGAACACTGGGTAGCTCAAGCCTGGAGAGACATGGACCGGTCAGGGTACTGCAACATGGAACACTTTACAGGGTAATGGTGGCTTCGTCAGCCAATAAATTGCAAGGGAAAAAGAAAAGCAATCAAGCAGAGCCTGAGAGGTCAATGAGAGTAAGAGACAAACCCCCCAACCCGGTGCAGGAGCCTTATCTGATTTTCTCATTGGAAACTTCATGTCATGAGACAGCGGGGTTTCTGAATGCTGGGGGTCTTAGATGACACTGAGAAGCTGCACCTGTGTTTTGGGTGTGGGAAGGTCCTGTATCTTTGGAGGTCCCAACAAATGAGGATGTCTGGGACATGCTTCAGTCACCCAGGGGCGGGGCGGGACAGGAGGGTGGGCACGGCTAAAGCATCAGCGACTGGTGACCCAAGGGGTAGGTATGTGGAGACTCACCATAGCCTATTTTTTTTTTTTTTTTTTGAGTTGGAGTCTCACTCAGTCGCCCAGACTGGAGTGCAGTGGCCACTCCTGGCCACCGCAGCCTTGACCTACTGGGCTCCGCGATCCTTCCGCCTCAGCCTTCCAAGTAGCTGAAACTACAGGCGCGCGCTACCATGCCCAGCTAATTTTTTGATTTATTGTAGAGATGAGGTCTCGCCAAGTTGCCCAGGCGGGTCTCGAACCCTTGGGCTCAGGCAATCCACTCACCTCAGCCTCCTAAAGGCGCAGGATTACAGGCTGAGCCACCGAGCCCGGCCACCGTAGCCTATTTTTAATTTATTTTTATTTTTTAGAGACTGGGCTCTTGCTGTGTTGCCCACGCTGGTCTCAAATGCCTGAGCTACAGCAATCCTCCCTCTTCAGCCTCCCAAGTAGCTGGGACTACCATGGCCAGCAGTTTTTACATATGTTCAGATTTTTACATATGTTTTACATATGTTCACAATTCTAAATAATTTATAAAAATTATAAAAGTGTTAAGTGCGAAGGACCCACAACAGGTGAAGGAGGAGATGGCCTTTAGGGGCTTGTGGAGACGGAAGGATGTGGAAGGCCTGGAGACAGAGAAGCACTGAGGTTCCGTTTGCTTTATGGTCCATCTTTCAACTCTGGGATTCAGATTATCGATGTAGTTTAGCACACTGTTAAATGCTGACTTACTGTTATGGATTCCTTCTGTGAACGGACTATTCATTTTCTTCACCCAGTTCTCTCTCAGGGTGCCTGGCCTTTTCTAACTGAGGTGTAAAAGCACTTTGTATGTTAGGGATTCCTTTGTCTGCCCCATAGTTTAGGCTGCAAACACACTCTTAGTATGAGGCATTCGCATTACATTAGTTTGTAGTACTTTTTGGCAAACGTCTGTTTAATTTTAAAAAAAGCCAAATTAAACGGGCAGTACTCAGATTGTATTTTAAAAGGTCTTCTTTTCCTTTCTAAGATTATAAAAATATTCATCTTGGTATCTGAATGTTTGACCTAGCTGCTACTGATTTGTAAAGAGCAAGAGAACTGGACTTCTTTCTGGCTGGCCAGGCGCTCCCCTCACCCGACCATCCCATCTCTCCCCGCCCCAAAATGTCACACTGAGCCAGGCTCAGTGGCTCAGCCTGTAATCCCTCGCTTTGGGAGGCTGAGGCGAGTGGATTGCCTGAGCCCGCAGGTTCGAGACCCACCTGGGCAACTTGGCGAGACCTCATCTCTACAATAAATCAAAAAATTAGCCTGGTGTGGTAGCGTGTGCCTATAGTTTCAGCTACTCGGAAGGCTGAGGCGGAAGGATCGACGGAGCCCAGCAGATGGAGGCTGCGATGGCCAGGAGCGTGCAGAGTGAGACTCCAACTCAAAAAAAAAAGCCACACTGCCAAGTACTACAAACTAATGTCTCCGCCTGTTCCTGCACCGGCACTGCCTTTTCTGAGGGCTGCCCCAACTGCTCTCTCCAAGTCAGGCCTGCTGCGCCCACCAGAAGGCTCTGAATGCCTCGGAGACCACGTCTACTATCCCAGTCTTCCAGACACCTACCACAGTGCTAGGCTCAGAGCGGACGTCACAGTGACTGAGCACAGAGGGTGTGAAGACACCCTCCTGCCCCTCCCCCAGAGGTCTGAGCACCCGGCTCGCTCACCCACCCATGGACTGGAAGCCTCCGGACTTCTTCTTCTTCTTGTTCTGGGCACGCACCATCTCCCGGGTGTCTGGCTCCACGTCCGAGGTGCACTCCAAAGTGGGGAAGGTAGGCAGGGGTCTGCTGGGACCCAGCTGGGAGGGGAAGCCAGAGAGGCTGTGTCACTCCAGGTGCCATCAGACACTGGGCAGAGGGAGGGGCGGAGCTGCTGCCTATGCCCCCTTCAAGCCTACAACTCTCCTGCCAGGTCAGGTGACTTCTCTGCCAACAGCCTCTCCCTGGCCTGGGCCAGGACAGGACTGGTTCACCTCGGCTCTATCGCTTGCCAGCTGCAAGCCCTCGGGCAAGGGACTGAATGTCCCCAGCCTGTGTATCCACATCTGGAAAATGGACACAAAAGCATAGGCCTCACAGGGTGTGTGAAGCCTATATGGGTAAGTGCAAAGCTTAGAAAGGTGCTCAGCACTCAGCTGGTGGCATGATCATCATCATCCTGACCTGTCACTCAAAGCCCGCAAAATTAAACAGCCAATGAGAATGCCTACTGTGTGGGGTACTAGACTTTTCCAAGCTGTCCTGCCTCCCTGGCCCCAGCCAATCTCCTTTCTGATCCATCACCCCAAGTCTGGTCTCTCTGGTGCCTGGCCTCCTTTCTGCTCATCCAGGCCCACTTGTCCCAGCACAGCTAGGTCCAGCCCAGATGCCTCCTTCCTCTCAGAAACAGCATATATGGAGCAGTAATTCATAAGAATGGCTAAAACTTACATGGCACCTACGATAAGCCAAGTGTGCTCTGAGCATTCATATTCATATACATTAACCCACTTAATCCTCACAACAGCCCTATGAAGTGAGTATCATTGGTATGTCCATTCTACAGAGAAGGAAACTGAGGCACAAAGAGGTAACGTGACCAGTCCAAGGTCCCACAGCCAGCAAGGGACGCGGGGGAGAGGATCTGAATCCTGGCTTCGGAGTCTATGCTCTTTCCTTGTGACCCCTTAGGATTGAGTACATCCCTGACTTGGGGTGTAGGCCTTCCTTTTCATATAAACCACCACTTAGCCATCTCCTTGCCCTGAGCCTGCTCTATGCCAGGCACCCACTGGGCATGGCACTGAGAAATTATAGACTACAGCTCTTCTGACCTCTTGGTGCTCACGCTTGTCCCCGACCCTCTGCATACATGGGCTCTCTTAGCAGTGGAAATGGCACAGGCCCTGGAGCCAGACAGACCCGCGTTTGAATTCGGTTCTCCCACTCACAAGCATGGTCAAGTTTCCTAACCCTCTAGGCCTGTCTCCTCCTCTGAAGAAACGGGGATGACCAAACTTGGCACGCAGAGTTGGTGCGAGGATTAAATGATAAGCCTTGTAAAACTAGCAGGAAGCCTGGCACATAATAAATGGTCAACAAATACAGGCTTAACTTATCAGTTTCCCAGAGGTTTGAGGGGCGTCACGGTGTCAAGCCACTGGATGAAGTCTCCCTCTCGACCTCCCGGGAACGCCCCAAACTCCCCAAGTCAGGTCTGCACCCGCACTTCTCATTGGACGACGGGCACGAGGATCCGCCCCCCGGGCAGGAGACAGCCAATGAGGGGCCCGCGATCGCACGCCGACAGGAAGGCCCGCGGGTCCCAGCCCCAGAATCGCGAGGTTCCGGCCGCGGGACCCGGGGCGTGACAGGCCCCGAGACACGTGCTCAGACCAGCGGTCCGAAACCCTGTCCCCGGTCCGGCAGACTGCCTCCTCACCCCCTGCGGTGCCCAATCCCCACGTGCGGAAGTAGACCTCGGGGCGCTGCCGGAGCCGGGTCTCCGGCCCCA